GAGTTTAAGATTTGAACCCCTGGTAGCTCTGAACTGTTTGTAGAGCGCTCCCCCTAAAATCAGAGTGTCGGGGTTGAATCAAACCAGGGCAAACCTCTTCTTTTTCCTCTTCTTTCACAGGACAAAAATCAATATGTTTTACTGAAGGACTGTTGTAGGATAGATGTGGTTTTTATGACCGGGCTTGCACCTATCCGTACTATCCAACATGTGAAATTTCAATCAAAATTCCCTGTAGCTATAGTATTAGAGCCAAATTGCAGATGTAGGATTTTTGTACACAAATTCCATCTATATCCTTGAATACGGATAGGTAGCAGAAACATCACCCTATATATATAGTCTTTACACTCAGGTCTCAATTTTTAAACCGTTCCCGCTAGGGCTAAACTCCCCGGCTTGTAGCGGGCGAGTATTCCGAGTATTCCGGCAACAGGAGTAACCAGGGGACACTTATATCTAGATACCCAACAGTCTTACGTTCACGAAGGCTCTTCCACTCCCGGAGAGATCGAGTTCTCTCTGCATATCAAGATCCAAACTCAGACAGCTGCAAAAATTGGATGATATTTTTTACGCATGCGCGTAAGACTTGGCGGTAAACTGCTGGGAAAGTGCTCAGCCAGAGACTGATTCTTGACTCCTAGCTCTGGTGAGTTTTGGTCTCTGTATCGTAAACCCCGGCGCAGAGGTTTTGTTGCTCCCTATAGAAATGCGTTGCTGGTCGGAATCTAAGCAAGAACCGATGCTAAAGGTATGAATGACCAACCTCCATAATGCATCTGTGTCACCGGCATACCTGCCTGTGCCTTGTAGGGAGGGATGTGTCTGTCTTTTCGTGTATATTTTTGTATGTCCCTCACCGTGTACCTGCTTTATGTGGTCTTGTAGGGCGCCCATACGGCTGTCAGTCTGATATGTTGGGCTTTGTGGCCATATGGCAGTCAGTCTGATATGTTGGGCTTTGTGGCCGTACGGCTGTCAGTCTTGTATGTTGGCCTATGTGGCTGTATGGTTGTATATAGTATTCACAATATTTACTCTTATGCTTTGTTGCTCATTGTGCTATCCTCTATTACATGTTTTTGAGTATAAATGGGACGATGGAGATGAAGAAAAAGAAGCACAAAAGACAGAAGAGACAACGAAAAACAAGAAGAGTTGAAATACATCATGTTGTGTTAAAGCCTCATTAACCCTCGGCGCACATGCGCAGCGAGGGTTACAGTAGTTGTTCTGTCTGCGTGTCCGCGCGAGTTTTAGCACTACAGGCTATGAGGCGGCCAATGAGTAGCACCAACGGGTTGTGAACGACGAGAAGATTGATATTAATGTGGCGATTTTCCCGAAACAGAGATATGGCGAAAAAGCCAACGCGCGGTCGATCGCGCACGCGCCCTCTCATGCAGGTTAGCTATATAGCGCGCACGCGTCATGTCAATTAATCGCCAGAGCATGCGCTACGCCACGTTGGTGGTATATATATACGATCCACGGCCTCCTGTCAGTTTTGATATCTGTTCCCTATGGATAAACGATAAACATGCTGAGCAAGGTATGTTTGCAATGTAGCATAATAGTTCAGGTGGCGAGCAGTTTGTGGTTGCGGCCTTGCCTTCCCATCTATAAAACGTCTGGCGAGAGCATTGAAACACAGAAGAGCAGATAGATTGAATAAAGCAAATATGACAGCCTCTGAAACACCTGAGCTATTGCTTTAACCGCTAATGCAACTACCCTGTGTTACGGTGAGACTCGTGTTTCTGGCTTCGTCGATGACACACGGCCAAGCTTACAGCGATGCTAGTTTACCGCCGAGGATTTGCACTTGAGTGCTTTTCATTAGATAGGCTATGGGAACATCTCACAATGCTGACAATATATGTAGTGTGTGATTTGTGTGACTGTTGCATTTATCATGACATCATTTCAGAATGTTTTACTGTAGGCATTGTTCTACTGTGTATTTACGGTGAAATTGTTGAACAAAACATTGTCTTGTGGGTGTATTCTTCGTGTTAAAACCATTTAGCCGAGTGTGAGGAGGAAATGTACATTTGTATGAGTAAAAACTCATGTGCCATCTGCATGCACATTGCTCCAAAGCAAACAGTTGTATTGCGATCTTGATTACGATCACTTCACGGAAAACGTTAGCTGTGGAGAGTAAAGTAAGTCACTAGAGAATAGTAGAGAATGCGGAAAGCAAGCTAGCTGTTGTATCTCACACAGACCACATGTGAGTAACTTGAGAAAAGCATGGATGATTATGATTACTTCACGGAAAAAGTTAGCTGTGGAGAGTACAGTAAGTCACTAGAAAATAGTGGAGAATACAGAAAGCAAGCTAACTGTTGTAGCACACAGAGACTACATGTGAGTAACTTGAGAAAAGCATAGATGATTATGATTACTTCACGGAAAAAGTTAGCTGTGGAGAGTACAGTAAGTCACTAGAAAATAGTGGAGAATGCAGAAATCAAGCTAACTGTTGTAGCACACAGAGACTACATGTGAGTAACTTGAGAAAAGCATAGATAATTACAATCATTTCATGGGAAAACGTTAGCTGTGGAGAGTATAGTAAGTCACTAGAGAATAGTGGAGAATGCGGAAAGCAAACAGTTGTAGCACACACAGACCACATGTGAGTAACTTAGAATGATTATGATTACGTACAGTAGAATGGTCACTCCCAAATTAAGTTGCGCTGTAGCCAGTCCACACAAGTGACGTATCAAATTAATCCTCACTCATTGCTGATTAATCTGATAAGGGTCCAGTGAGGCCATGTGATAGTAATCTGTCCTTACACTAATCATTTAATCATCCATGCTTTCTCAAGTTACTCACATGTGGTCTGTGTGTGCTACAACTGTTAGCTTGCTTTTCGCATTCTCCACTATTCTCTAGTGACTTACTTTACTCTCAACAGCTAACGTTTTCCCATGAAATTATCATAATCATCTACGCTTTTCTCAAGTTACTCACATGTAGTCTCTGTGTGCTACAACAGTTAGCTTGCTTTCTGCATTCTCCACTATTCTCTAGTGACTTACTTTACTCTCCACAGCCAATGTTTTCCGTGGAGTAATCGTAATCATCCATGCTTTTCTCAAGTTACTCACATGTGGTGTGTGCACGCTACAACAGCTAGCTTGCTTTCCGCATTCTCCACTATTCAAGTGACTTACTTCACTCTCTACAGCTAACGTTTTCTGTGACTGCTTCCCTTGTTACTCACATTTGGTCTGTGTGCGCTACAACTGTTAGCATGCTTTCCGCATTCTCCACTATTCTCTAGTGACTTACTATACTCTCCACAGCTAACGTTTTCCCATGAAATGATCGTAATCATCTATGCTTTTCTCAAGTTACTCACATGTAGTCTCTGTGTGCTACAACAGTTAGCTTGCTTTCTGTATTCTCCACTATTTTCTAGTGACTTACTGTACTCTCCACAGCTAACTTTTTCTGTGAAGTAATCATAATCATCCATGCTTTTCTCAAGTTACTCACATGTGGTCTGTGTGAGATACAACTGTTAGCTTGCTTTCCGCATTCTCCACTATTCTCTAGTGACTTACTTTACTCTCCACAGCTAACGTTTTCCGTGAAGTGATCGTAATCATCCATGCTTTTCTCAAGTTGCTCACATGTAGTGTCTGTGTGCTACAACTGCTAGCTTGCTTTCCGCATTCTCCACTATTCTCTAGTGACTTACTGCATGTACTCTCCACAGCTAACGTTTTCCGTGAAGTGATCGTAATCATCCATACGCTTTTCTCAAGTTACTCACATGTAGTGTCTGTGTGCTACAACTGTTAGCTTGCTTTCTGCATTCTCCACTATTTTCTAGTGACTCACTGTACTCTTAGAACCGCGGCACGGAGAGCGCAGTTTTGCTTAGTCTTTTCGATAGTGTGCAAGACCCGTTACCCAGTTGGCTCTGCCCGCCAGAATTTAGGCTGGGAAACGGCGTAGGCCCATTTGCTCGTAGCTTCGAGACTGCCGCCGAGCAGGACGCGTTCATCATACAAGCATCGCAGCAGCTGAACGGATATAGCTATCCTGCAAGCCCGCCGGAGCAAGGCACTGCCACTGGAGCGCTCAGCCCGCGTCGCTTGATCTGGACGATTTGTTGCTTGTCGCTAGTCAAGCGTTGAAATCAGCTACATGGAACGAACGCTCTACCAGGAAACGCCTGACTAGCGACCAACAGCAAATCGTCCAAGCGACGCGGGCTGAGCGCTGCGATGCTTGTATGATGAGCTCGGCGGCAGTCTCGAAGCTATTATTATGAATTGAAACCTCAGTGATCTAAATTCTTCACAGTGATCTATAATAATATTATATATTATATAATTATATATAACTTGAAACTTAGAGACTTAGTACTTAGATACCTGGCAGACCCAATACTACGGGTTTTAGACACTTGATTACTACACTCAACATCAAAGGGAATTATTCATGAGAGGTTCTATGTGCTGTTAGCTTGCTTTCCGCATTCTCCACTATTTTCTATAGTGACTTTCTTCACTCTCCACAGGTAACGTTTTCCGTGACTGCTACTCATGTGTGCGCTACAACTGTTCGCTTGCTTTCCGCGCTTTCCGCATTCTCCACTATTCTCTAGTGACTTACTTTACTCTCCACAGCTAATGTTTTCCGTGACTGCTTCCCTTGTTACTCACATGTGGTCTGTGTGCTGTTAGCTTGCTTTCCGCATTCTCCACTATTCTCTAGTGACTTACTTTACTCTCCACAGCTAATGTTTTCCGTGACTGCTTCCCTCGTTACTCACATGTGGTCTGTGTGCGCTACAACTGTTAGCTTGCTTTCCGCGTTCTCCACTATTCACTAAGTAACTTAGTTTACTCTCCACAGCTAATGTTTTCCTTGAAGTAATGACATATATGGATAATAGGTGGCTCGGATAGGTGGCCTATAAAAGCGTTACTCCGCTCGGCAAACTACGCAACGCGCAGGGATTAATCATGAGTCGCGGAGCGAAAACTACGATCGAGCTTCCATGCCTTGGACTCCCGTTTCAACTTGGCATGCTGTACGACTGCCGCACTGATCAAATGATCCCGGGTATGACGTTGTGGGACGATAAGCTACTCAAAGCTGCTTTAAGCGAACGACCACAGCCGAGTTCCACCTTCGAAGTTACGGCGGAAGATACGATTTCCAACAAGATGTTCAACCTCGGGGTGCAAGCTAATTTGTCACTAAGTGTTTTGGGTGGACTCGTCAATGTTTCGGGATCGGCAAAGTATCTCGACGATCGACAGTCTTCAAGCAAGCAAGCTAGAGTGACACTTAAGTACAGTTGTACTTCAAAGTTTCAACAATTAACAATGGAGCAATTAGCGACGTCCAATATCCAACATCCCGACGTTTTCGACAAAGGGACAGCAACCCATGTAGTTACGGCTGTGCTTTATGGTGCAGAGGCATTTTTCATTTTTGACAGAGAAATTGAAAGTGGTGAGAATTACCGCAACATTCACGGAAACATGGAAGTATTGATCAAAGCCATTCCAGGCATCACTGAAATCAAAGGTAGTGCCGATTTAGATATTAGTGATCGAGACAAGAAAGAAGCAGACAAGTTTCAATGTAAGTTTTATGGTGATGTTATACTTGAGAGCAATCCCTCCACTTTTCAAGATGCTATTTCAGTGTACAAAGAGTTGCCAAAAAGTTTCGGCAAAGATGGCCAAAATACGGTCCCTAAAAAGGTCTGGCTATATCCATTAAGTAGCCTTGACAGTAGAGCAGCTCGTATGGTGAGAGAAATTAGCACTAATCTGGTCTCACAAACCCAACAAGCAATAGAATGCCTCAATAACATGGTAATCAGAGCTCATGATCTAATTAATAATGAGGTGTATGACAGTTTTTCTGGTTTGAAAGAGCAAATGTCACGGTTCTCAGAGATGGTTAGTGAACACAAGACCGAGATTATGAAGCAGTTGTGCACAATTCTCCCTTCAATTCGTGGTGGGGAAGCTAAGGAGCAAGAATTAGCCCAGCTGTTAGAAAGCCGCATGTATAAATCTCCTTTCAATAAGAGTTCTCTTGAATTATGGCTAAGAGGCAAAGAGGAGGAAATAAAAGTTCTTGCACAATACTATGACATCATGAAGAATGCCAAAGGAGTAAAAATGTTATTTGCTCCAGGTGATCTCGATGCAGCAATCAATGATGTTAATCACGATCATGTCCTTACTTTTGAGTTCAAAGTTGCCCGAAAGAGTGACAGTGCCAGCTTTCTCCAAAATATGTTTTCATTTTTGCGCACTAGACACGTAGGCTCAAGTTTGCAAGATGGGTCTTCAAGCAAGCAATGGTACAAAACAAGTGCAATTATTAAAGATCTGCGCCTAAAGGCAAAGCAATTCACCACTTTTGCCGAAGCAAACAAAGGAGGCGAAGTCATGTTTGTGGTTAGTGATAGCAGCGAAGAAGATGGTCCAACCACTGGTGGGGCTGTTGTTTTACACTATGAGTTTGGGGCTGTAAAGGGAGAGTTTGAGCCTCCTGGTCAGCCAAAGAGGCCAGTTGCTAAAGGTATTAAGCATGATAATGTTCAATTGCAGTGGAAGGCACCTCCATATGGCTTAGATAGCATAGAATGCTACCAAGTCCGGTACCGTCGCATTGATCAGACAGAAGGTCAACTTATGACACAGAAAACCAAAGGTACTGAAACCACAATCGTAATCAACAATTTAGAGCCTGAGACAAAATACGTTTTCATAGTATGTGCTGAATGTGTTTTGGGTGTTAGTCAGGAGAGTGATCTGAGCGAAACTGTTGAAACCAAACCAGCTCCTGTAAATTTAGTACTTCAAAGTATAATCTCTAAATCAGATATTATGCCAGGCCCAAGTCCACCAGTAGTTTACAGGGTCAAGCCACGACCAGTACGCCTACAGAAGAAACAGGAGAACATTGCAAAAATGGAGTTTGGTGAACCACCTCATCCAGCTAAACCGACTAAGGTATTGATGGTTGTTGGTGCTACTGGAGCTGGAAAAAGCACGTTAATTAATGGAATGGTCAATTATATCTTTGGAGTCAAATGGGAAAATGATTTTCGTTTCAAATTGATTTGTGACGAAGTGTCTGATAGTCAAGCACACAGTCAAACACAAAATATAACAGCCTACACATTGTATTGGCAAAAAGGATCACCTATTAATTTCAACCTAACCATTATTGATACACCTGGATTTGGTGATACTCGTGGCCTAGAAAGAGATCAGCAAATTACGAAGCACATTCGCGAATTCTTTCAACTGAAAGGACGTGATGGTTTGGATGAGTTGCATGCCATTGGGTTCGTAACTCAAGCATCCCTGGCACGGTTGACTCCAACTCAGAAGTATATATCAGATTCCATTCTCTCGGTGTTTGGAAAAGATATCAAAGATAATATATTTGTAATGACAACCTTTGCTGATGGTGCTGAACCACCAGTTATGGGGGCAGTTAGAGAAGCTGAGATACCACACGCAGATTTCTTTCCATTTAACAATTCAGCCCTTTTTGTTCATCCAAGTAAGTCTACCTTTGCCAAAATGTTCTGGGAGATGGGCTATGCTAGCCTTGCAGATTTTTTCGTAAAGTTTGATCAAGCCGACGGCGTTAGTCTTCAGCTCACAAGAGAAGTTTTAGAAGAACGTCATCAATTGGAAACTATAGTTCTTGGCATTCAACCGAAAATCAATGCTGGCCTTTCAAAAATTGATGAATTAAATCAAGAAGAAATGATACTCAAAGATAAAGAGTCAGAAATTTTACGCAATGAAGATTTTACATATGAAATTACCGTCACAAAGCAACGAAAAATTGATGCACCCAGAGGGACATATGTCACGAACTGTGCAAATTGCCACTTTACCTGTCATTCTAGTTGTGTCTATGATGATGATCGACACAAATGGAGGTGTTCTGCAATGGACAATGGAGGTGAAAGTAGTGCTAAATGCAGAGTTTGCCCGGGGAATTGTACGTGGAGAAAGCATTATAACAATGGATATCATTTTGAATTATATGAAGAAGTTGAAATTAGAACAAAGCAAGATCTTCTAGAAAAATACACGCAAGCGAAGTCAGCAAAAGCTGATGTTGAGAGCATGATTGGTAAAATGGAAAATGAGCTCAAGCAGTTGCAAATGACTGTTCTTTACAATATAAGTCAAGCTCGTAGGTGTTTACAACGTCTCGATGATATAGCTCTTAAACCAAACCCCCTCACTGAGGTTGAGTACATTGACCTTCTTATGAAATCCGAGGAGCAAAAAAAGGCACCTGGATGGAAGAAACGCATTGACTATTTTCAGAAAGTTCGGCAGCAAGCAGAGATACTAGGCAAAATGAAAGATCCTCAGGATTTCGAGGAAATGGCCAAGAAAAGCAGCAAGACTGTTTGGGAAAGTATTACTGGTTGGTTTTCCAGTAAAAAAGGACACAATTAAACTTTGATTCCATAATGATGGTTTTGTTTACGTTTTTATTGTCATAATTATGTTATTTCAAAAAAGGTTTGTTAGGCCATTCAGTCAAAGTTAGGTCAGTGTTTCTAATCTTACCCCACTAATCTGCTATAATAAACATACTGGGTTTGAGGCCTTTGTAGCTATGCTTATATAGCCTACCACAGTCAATTATTAGTCTGGTTCCCATCCCCTTCCTTTTGTGTGCAGTGTGAGAGAGGGAAGAAAGGGTTTAGTAAATGTTCCTGGAATTCAATTACGTTGCTTACTTAAAGGAGGGAGAAGGCCTGGAAGATTTTCGCACGTGATAAATAGACAAACGTCACTGTGCATGTAATGTAAATTGTGTGTATTGCCTATGGGCGTGATGTCTTCTGTACCACGTATCATGTGTTCTTTCAGGCCTTCTCCCTCCTTAACTCTGCATATTATGGTTCAAAGGTATTGCGAGGAGGATGTATAAAGGAGGCCTGGGATTGAGGCTATTCCAGTCTTGGTCTTGTAGCTAGATGTAGATTACAAACTGAACTGAACTTCCTGAGCTTTGCCCCCCAATGTAGGGGACGAATAGCAATACACAGAAAAATATATGAGTGGAAGGAGACAAAACAAGTAAATTCATACAATGAAGACAAAAACAAGTGATTTCATACAATGAAAAGCATTAAAGTGCAAAACCCTCGGCAGCGTGGTACCACGCATGTGGATTGGGCTATGTGTATGCCATAGCCAATGTTATTTGCACAATCAGAGTGTGTGACTCTAGGCCAATGAACATGGTTAGACCGGCTTTAAAAAGCAGGCCTGAACTGAGAAAAAAAAGTGAACATGTCCTAAAGCCTAGGAACATGAAAATCGAAGAACGACAGACACCATCATCATCTCATCAAATCAATGCAAGTACAGTACACGCCAAAGAAAGTTCCCCAGCACGCCGCCGTAGTACGGTGATACCCTAGCAAAATGTTCTACGGTGCTTCTACGACGGATCTACGGTCGACCGTAGAGAACTGTAGCTAGCTGCGGTACGCTGCGAGCAACCGCAATGTCGCCCCGGCATAGGGAGCAGGCCGGATCAAACCCCCCAGGTTGAGTGATCGTCAACTCTCCTGCTCTCATAAACCCGAAGAACCCCAAACAGCAGGCCGCCCACAACATGACATAATCCTGGTCTCCCCCCACCGCTGGGGCCCACTGATCCTTCAAGACTCGCAGAATGGCTGGTGTGATTGGCAGACGGGGCTACCGAGTCGCTTGACTGGGGGAATGCTTTATACCCCTGAGGACGTACTGTAGGAGTGGGAAGGGGCTTCCTGCAAAGGGGTCACCTTGACCTGACAGAATCTGGTAATAACAGAGAGCTGAGAAGTACCCCTTAATGGATTGGTGGGTCAGCCCCTCCTTGGCCAGGTATGCTGCGAACATGCAGAGGGTGTGCTCGGTGAGTGGCACGGGTTGAATGTTTGCCTCACTGCAAAATGCCAGGTAGCGGCGATGGCCCGATCTGTAGGTCCGTAAGGTTGCTGGAAGTAAAGCTCCTGGGTAGCCCGAAACAGACTCCTCCAGGTGGAGGACATCCAGTCTGGCTGGCTGAGAAGTAGCATGTCCAGGAGGGATTGTGGCACGTGGGATGGTCTGGACGGGGCCTGGGGAAAGCAAGAAAGAAAAACCTCGTGCTTATCCCTCGATAGCGTATCCGCTGCTGTGTTGCGCACTCCGGGTATATGGCGAGCCTGCAGGCTGATTTGGAAATGGGCACAGAAAAAATGGAGGCACCGCAGCAGGTGCATTAAGAGAGGGTCCCGCACTGACCCCGATGAGACTGCGCACACCACTGCCAAGTTGTCCGAGAACACCCGGGCTGTGGAAGTGTACCAGATTTTGCCTCATAAAGCTACCGCAATTACGACCGGGACCATTTCCTTGGCTGCTATGTGCAACTCCCGCCAAGAGTCCGACCATTCCACTTGGAACCAGTTGAGCGTGTGAGAGAGAGCCCCGCATCCGACCAGAATGTGTGTGAGATACGTTGGGGCAAGATCAACTTTCCCTTCCATCCCGGTAGGAAGCACGCCCACCACTGCACGTCGGACTGGAACTCCTTGTTGAGGCACACATGCTGGTGCTGGTGCTTTGGTATTTTCATGGTGTCGATCATGCGCCGGAGAAGGGTGCGGCCTGGGGTCACTACTGTTGCAGCATGGCTGAGCGTCCCTTGCAACTGCTTCTTTGTCGCTACCCTCTTGGAGGTCCACTCCAGTACCATTTCTGTGGTGCGACTGAGCTTGTCCTGTGGGAGAATCAGTTCCATTGCGACCGTATCGATCTGGATTCCCAGAAACGTCAACTGACCCCGAGGTCCAGACATACCTCCAGGGTTCGTTGTAGTGCTTGAGCACATGCTGCGGAGTCAGGTGGGCCGACCAGGAGAAAATGGTCCAAGTAATGCAATTGGCGGGTCACTCCGATCCAGGCTAGAGCATCGGCCAGGGCTGAGAAGATGTTTGGCGCTGATCTCAGGCCAAAGGGGAGTGCTGTGTCAATGAACACGTCTTGATCCCACTGTATGCCTAACAGCGGGTGGTCGTCTGGGTGCACTGGCACCATGCTGTATGCGTTGTGCAAGTCTAGTTTTGCTAGTTGGGTGCCGACCCCCAACGACTGGATCATTCGCACGGCGTCCAACACCGAGGCGTACTGCATGTGACACAGGTCAGGTGCGATGCCATCATTGATGCTGTGCCCTGCTGGCGAAGACAGGTCAACTATCAACTTCCATTTGCCCGGCTGATGCGCTTTGGGGATCAGGCCGATTGGGCTAGTCTGGGCAATCCTCGCCAGATGTGGTGGCAGAGGGCCCAGGAGGTGCCCCGCCTCCACCTCGGCCTTGATATGGGCCTCGACGAGGTGTGGCCTCTGCTGGACTGACGGCATGTTGCTGTGGTTGCCCCGCAGTTCGATTGCTGTCTGCTCCGATATGAAACCCCCTGCTAATGCCCTGGAGGATGTATCGGGCAAAACCCTGATCGGGGTGGGTGGAGAGAGCTTCCTCCCAAGCTGGCTGCCTGGTCTGAAAACCCCTTGGCCCATGCCTGTGGCCATTGCCTCCAGCTTTAGGAGGTCCTCCAGGTATAGATACTTGCTCCCTACCATGTTGCCCGTGCCTGCCAACAGATAGTTAACTAATTACATGGTATTGTGGAACACACGCAACATGGTGCTACCAATGCTAGTGTCTACAGTCTTTAGATCCTGTCCGGCTTAGCGCTGCGAGTTGTCTGCAGCCTGTTTTCCCCCTGGCAGCCCTGTTGCCTTATACGGGGAGTCGGCTGGGGTTTCGTCACACTTCTTAGCCCGATGGCTCCTGCGTCTGCAGGTGGCACAGACATGTCGGAACCTGCATGATCCGGGGAAGGCGCAGCGCCCCTTGTTCCACGACGTACAAATGCGTTCCAAGGTCTCCGGCCTGGAGACACGGCTCCCCGATTGCTGGGGAGGTGAAGCATTGGGCCTCCGAGTGATCCGGCTCTTTACAGAGCTTGCACGATTTCCTCTCCCCAGAACGGAGGGACATCACCGTTGCCGCATGTAGACTTGAGTTCAGCTCGTTCCAAGGGTGTTTGCAGGTCAGGGCTGCTTGCTGCTGCCGGAACCACTTATCGTACTCCAACCATCCTGCACCACCCTGGCACTGGGCCTCTCGAATGATGAGGCGTGCGTATGACAACATATCCTTGGTCTCCTTGTCTTCAGTATGGATTGCTATATATGCCAGGAAGCAAAACACCCATGACAGGGGAGACTCAATCTCTCGTAGTCGGTGGGGGCGGGCGGCCACTGCGTTCTGGGATGGCAGATCTTCCAGCTGGCTCAGGAGCGCCATATTGTCTGAGAGCAGTTCCCTCATAGCCACGTACTGCCCAGACTTTATCTTTTGGACGTGCTTGGCACTGATAGGAGGCAGAGCTGAGGACAGGACAACTGCACCCTCTCCAGGGGGCCTGACCAGTGGCAGCAGAGCTGAGGTGGCTGGATTTGCAGTGGTTGCAGTGCCGGCTGCCGAGCGCGCTAAGGAGAATAGTGGCAGCCCTGCCAGCGAGGCTGGTGGTGGGATCAAGGTGGGACCAGTGAAGGGGGGGCAGAGAATGAGAGAAAGAAAGAAGGTGCTAATGAGGTGTGTGCATTAACCCCATGGCCTGCTTGACTGGCAGCTGCAAATGTCACCAAGCTGAGCCTGCCTGACTCTGGCAGCTGCAGTGTGTGAACTTGTCACCACGCCCTGGTGAGCCTGCTTGACTCTGGCAGCTGCAGTGTGTGCACTTGTCACCACGCCCTGGTGAGCCTGCTTGACTCGGCAGCTGCCGTTTGTTCTCTCGTCACCAAGCCCTGGTGAGCCTGCTTGACTCAGGCAGCTGCGGTGTGTTCGCCTGTCACCAACCCCTGGTGAGCCTGCCTGACTCGGGCAGCCGCAGTGTGTTCGCCTGTCACCAAGCCCTGGTGGGCCTGCCTGACTCGGCAGCTGCCGTGTGTTCGCCTATTGTATGTACGGAACTCACCTGAGGACGAAGAGGTGGAAGGGCTGCTAGCCGATACTCCTTCCGCTGACGGGCCGATCCGGACGCGGAGCTGCTGAGCGCTGCTGTGACTCCTCGTTGCACGGCGGCCTGTAGGATCTCTAGGACGGCCGGGTCCAGAGTAGTCAGTCCCGAGAGCGCCCCGGCCGCTGTGGCCGACGCGGTACCCTCCGCGGCGGTGGGTGTGGCGCGAATCGGAGGCGACTTGCCCTTCGACATTCCCGGGCGAGAAAAGAGTTTGACGCTTGTCACTGCCGCCGACTGCAACTTCAGCCCCGACTGATGGTTACTGACAATTCCCGCGCCAAAGCGGCTGCCGGTCACGTGTGGGAGCATGCGCGCACGAGGTGCGCCTGCTCCTGGCCCGCGCCCTCCCATTAACCTTGTTTAACCCCGGGTTAAACATAC